CCTACCCACTGCCGCTGCCGTCCTTGCTGCTCAAACGCCAGCCGCAATCCCATCTCTTCTCCCTCTTCCTCGTCTTCCTCTTCTCCGTCTTCTCCATCTTCCTCTTCATCACTACTCTCCCACCNGCACCGCTGACATGCTACCTCGTCCTCCTGACACATCCCCCGCTCTACTCCATCCATTGCCCAGTCAAGTACCGCCCGCATGCACCCCTTGCCCTCCACAAATAACTGCATATCCTCCTCTACCTCTCCAAATGCCCCCACAAACTCCTTCCTTCTCCCCCTCATCCGATATCCCCGCATGATAATCGCCTCGCTCTTCTCCCCATCTCGTCCAGCCCGTCCACTCTCCTGCGCGTACTGCCGCATCTGCCGCACCACGCCTACATGTACTACCGCCCGGATTCTCGGTGCGTCTACTCCTAGTCCCAACGCATTCGTTGCCGTAAACACCTGCCGCTGCCCACTCGTCAACTCCCGTACAATCTTCTTCTTCTCCTCTACCGTGCCCACTTCCCGGTAGTAACATGCCGCCCCCAGCACCTTGCCCATCTGTCTTGTCCGTGCCACTGTCCCGCAGTATACAATCACCTGCCCTGGCAGCGGGTATTTCCTCTTTAGCTTCTCCACTAATTCTACTACCGCCTTCTCCTCTTCCTCTATATTGTACTCATGCACTACATACCGGATATTCTTGCGTGTCGTCTGCCCCCGGAACCAGTAGCACTTGCTCTTCTCTGGCAGCCCCATCACATCTAAAAACTGCTTCTCCTCCTTCGGCCGAAGCGTCGCCGTCAAATACACCATCTGCGTCTCTACCCGGAGCAGCTCTCGCAGTCCTAGCAGCCGGCTGCGGAATCCCTTGAGCGAGTCCAGTACCGAGTGACATTCGTCAATCACAATCCGATCTAGCCGTCCCATCGACCGCTCCCGGTTAATGTAATGCCCAAACGCCTCTCCCACCGCCGCTTCCGGCGTCACAAACATAATCTGCACACTCCTGTACGGACGCCGGCTATCCCACTCCCCACTGACAATCCCCAGCTCGTCACACCGTGCCTTCATGTCAAACCGCAGTGCCACTAGCGGCACTACCACAATAGTAACCCCAGTCGACACTGACGCTGGCAGCATAAATAGCACGCTCTTGCCAGCCCCAGTCCCCATGATCGCTATAACGGGACTCTCATACCGCATAATCGCCTGCATCGCTGGCCGCTGTACACTGCGAAATGTAGCACTGGGCCCTAGCAGCCGCTGGAGCTCGCTGTCAATGTCCACCAGCCGCATCATCTTCCACCGCCGGTATTCCTCCTCCAACGCCTCCCTGCGCGCCTTGACAGCCAGCGGGCTCCGTTGCAGCAGCCGTAGCTTCTTCTCCTGCGCAGACGGGAGCTCTAAAAACCTGTGCCACTCGCTGCTCGCTACTCGGAACATAAACCGCTTGGATTCCACACTAAACACCGCCTCATACAGCGACCGCCCATAAATTGCCCCAGCCACCTTGCTGCTATGCCCAGTCTGCAAGTCAAACGCTTCATCCTCTTCTTCGGATGCGTCGTCTTCGTCGGCAGTCATATATGCCTTGCGTGCCTTGGGGTT